GAACGCCGTCCAGAGGAGGCATTTGTTCGCCCCGCCATAGCGGTTGTGATCCGCCTGAATAATTGCGTCGCACGCCGTCAGGCTGAGAATAAGGCGGTCATTAGTGCCGCTGGAAAAGATCGGCTAAAAGGACGACGACGTACAAAGTGGGTTGGCAGGGCTGCAGCGAGAGCGCGTCGATAATGAGGTGCAGGTAGACGACATTGCCATGACGGTCCTCGGGTGCGTGAACGGGCGCGCGGACCACCCGTGCGCATTCACGAGCGCGGCGTACACGTTGTGCAGTATGTTGGCCCACACTTCGCCGATGGCTGTGACGCAAAAAATGATTAGATTTAAGTTTATAGAGGGTGAAATAATGGAACGCACCCTGCACCACGTCGAGAATACGGACAACCGTGTATGTCACCGGATTGACTTCCTGCATCCGGTGAACCAAGATGAAAATACAACAACGCACGGACACGGCGGATGCAAAAACGCACTTCGAGGTCGAGTACGGAAAGCCGCGGATGCCCGCGGGGTTGTTGACGAGGTAAGCACCTGTCGTGAAGTCAACGACCTTTGCGGACTTTTGCTCTGTCCAGCTGCAATAGTGTCGGTAGTCAGTTTGTTTTCAGATGCGAGGGGAGGAGAGGAAGAGTGGGAAGTGAATTGTACAGCGCACTTACTCAGCGAGCGCGTCGGACTACCGCTCGCCGATGCCGTCCGCCTCGAGAGACTGCAGGCACTCGGCAGTGCCGCTGCCCGTCAGGCGGTTCGTGATACCGTGCATGATCTCGTGTATAACTATGTCTTTCTCGAACGCGCCGTCGCGTCGCGGCTGTGCACGGGAAAATGGTGGTTAAAATTCAATGAGCAAGAAGGGGAATGCGTACCTTAGTTGAATTCCAGAGGAACATGCGCATATGTCCGGATTGGCCGCTGAAATGAAAAGAACGATTAGAACGGACTCATACGAAGATGGCAAGAAGCTAGCAGACATACTCAGGTGGCACCTGAGTAAGCATGTAAATAATGAGAATGCTGGATTGCAGCGAAGCGATGGACTGCACGAACCGCAATATCCGCATTATTAATCTCCGACGCGTCCTGAATAGATGCAGTAGTGCGATCGCCCCCCTTGCCGCCGTGCCCGAAGTTGTTGTTCTGGAAATTGAAGGCGTGCTCGGTGAAGCGGTAGCTGGATAGAGGTATGCGTGAGTGAATAGATAAACGTGAGTTGATACAAAAATCAAACGCCAGAAAAGGGCAGAGAAAATAACCGGGAGCGGGGATTTAACGATGAAAGTGGAAATAATGGACTGGAAGGAAAACAATAGCGAGGAAGAAAGATACGGAAAAGATGACTTTAATAAAGATGGAAGCAGAGAAGGACATACCGATAGGCAATGTCATGCACAATAGTGATGATATAAAAATTGTTCACGATCGCCGCAGCGACGTTGGCCGGCACAATAGGCTTCTTGGACGCGTCCTGGGGCGGACTGCCGGGCGACGCCGAGCTTAGGGCCGCCCTTGTAGGACACTGCGTTGTTGCCGCTGCGGGGCGACGGTCAGACATCATATGGATCATGGTTGGATGAAAGGGGGGAGGGAAGGACTGCATACGATGTGGTTGTGGAGTCGCCGAAGGGCGTGGAGTGCCATCCGCGCGGGGAGGCGGCACGGTCGCTGGGATCACGGAGTGTCTCGAAGCCGTCCGGAACTGACTGCTTCTTAATGGGTATCACGCGATACTGCGGTTGCAGGCGAGTCATACCCACCTTCGTCACTTCGTTACTTCGCTTAGAAATGAGAAAGTTCGTGACTTTGATGGGAATGTGTGAAAGCTCGTCACTTCGACTAATAAGCCTTCACAATGTATTTTCCTTCATTTGCGTGAAGAGGACCAACCAGGACCAACCATTCAATGCCCCTCCCTTCCCTCGCTGCGCTCGGGGGTCCCCCGAACCGGGGGACTTCAGGTTAGTACACTAAAGCCTCATTCCCGCGGAAATTTCTATCCCTAAACCCTAACACTCTAACCCGAACCTCTAACCCGAACCCCGAACCCCTAGCCTCTAACCTGAACTCTAACCGGTGGATACCCGCAGTTAGGTGCGCTTGCCCTAACTGCTCGAAATGGGTTGCATGTGAATACAGAATGTTGGCATCAAAATGAGAATGTTCGTAACTATCTAGCTGAACTCACGAACTTTCACAGAATCCGATCAAACTCACAAAGTTTCGCAACACTAAGTGAAGTACCGAAGTGACGAAGATGGCGCGGACTCGTTGCAGGCATCAGCACAATGGGGGGGAAAGAATCAAGAGGCAGCGGTGCTACGCACGGAAGCCTTGGAGACATAATCGACGACCGAGAGCAGCTTGCCGTCGTGTGCATCGATGAGCGCCTCGTACCAGGTCCCCGCAGCCTCATCCCGTACTTGGAATGCGTGCACGAGGGCTGCGGAGCCATCCCTTCAGCGAAGTACTTGAGTTCTGCGGTAGGCAATCCGTCGTGAGACCCGCCAAGGTGCTCCTCAGCAGTTGCGCGGGCATCATCGAATAATATAGAAGGAGTGGAGGATGCAATGGACGCTGAGCAAATTTGAGCCATGCGAACATTAATTTGAATGTGAGCGGCAGAAGCGCTTACCGGGATTCACTGCGGGGATCCACACATCTTTGTGGCCCAAAAATGAGGTTCAAAGGTGTCTGTCTACCTGTTTCACCAAATTTAGGGAGTGTGACAAGGATAAGATGAAAAATACAAGATTGTTTTCTCCCCTTTGCCAGTGTGGTAAAAATATGGCCAAAGGGTGATTGAAATGAGGTTTGTTTCTTGGTGTCGCAAATAAATTATTATTGGCGCATGAAAGGCTGGATGGACAATGGGGCTCATTGTTCAATCAGTCTTTGGTAGTACGAATAGAACTAATTCTTGACCAGAAGAAATTCTACAAAACCGCTTTATTACTCAGAAGATCTTCTACCATAACAAATGAGGAGCCAAATGCGACTACCTTGTCCGCCCCGTTGAACGCCACGTTGGCCACAGCGTTTGCGAAAAATATCCCTTCCTAAAACAGAAACCCATGTAACGTTCAGACGATAGACGCGATGGATACCATGGCGGACGGACGTGAGACTGCTTAGCGTAGGTATGTCGGGCATGGGCACCGGAAAACCCAGCGTGGAATACGGTGTTCTCGGCTTTGAGGCGGAGCTTGTCCTGGAGGAACGCGGCCACCGACTCCAAGAGGCTCATCTCTGTGCGTTTGCGGAGCGGGTGATCAATGCCTTCGCCGAATGTCTGGCGAGGATGTAAGTTGAATGGCCTCATCATTTGTGTTCAGGATCTTTACCTCATAGGTGCTCGCAGGGTAGTAAGTCTCGAGCGTGAGGCCGCTACAGAGCTCGCGCCTCCGGTGTGTCGTATGATTCGCGCTGGAAAAGACTGCGGCTGGTGCGGGGGCGGCGGTGGCCCTTGGTGGAGCATGGCGGCCGTCGGGGGGAGGTGGGGTGATTGAAGACTGGAGAATGAAAGTACGGTGGCTTGGTGGGGCGCCGCTCCTTTATAGAAAATTACAGGCTGTGAGGTCTTAGATCCCCCTAGGGTCGTGCAGTCAAAAGAGGAGAGCGGAGCGGATGGCGGGTGTGCATCTTGCGATCGCGCTCTCCATAAGATCGCGGACGAAGGCGAAGGTGCATTTGAGACAACGCGCGGCAATAGCTTGGAAATTGCGGTTGTGAACTATCTGACTGTCAGAACTGATTATGAGGTTATCGAACCACCTACCGTTAGATCTAGAAGTTAACGCTCGGAAACGTGGGGCAGCGCCTCCTGGCCTTTCGCAGCTGATCGGCTAATCTGTACGGATCAGCAGCCGCATCAGGGAGGATCTGTATGGATCAAGGTGGATCAGCCAACCAAAGACATTGGCCCTATTTTTGTCCAGCATCAACCGCGAAACGCGTGTCCCTCGGGCGCCGTGAAATGCAGCGCAGAGCCAAGTTCCAGTCGGCGGTGAGCGATCGAAGTTGAACAACAGGGTGAAGGAGTTTGGCGAATGAATGAGCCCATCTACCAGGGCAAAGGACTGTTCCCTGGCTGCTGACGCAGATAGAGGTTCGTCTAGGGTGTGCAACTAGAGGGAAAATGAGAGGGGTGATGCCCTGCCGCCGAGGGTCAGCTGATGCGGCACAAGAGCAGGAAACCATCGAGCTTGCCTCATATCGTCGTGGTTGCCGATACAGAAAGGCGCCGACGCCGACACAATTAATTTTGTAATAGGTGTCACCCTAAACACTATTCAACCATCGACGCGAGATCGACGCTTGGTGTTTTGCCCAGATTTTTTCTGTGTCGTGGTTCTTGAAGTTAATTCTGGACAGCGCCAGCAGCGGAACGCGTTCAACGGAGGAAGCTGCGGAGAAGAGGGGATGCCTGACATATTTGAGGGGCCAAGTTCCATCAGCGGGTGCCGACTGAGGCATGACGACGAGAATCTTGCAGGAACCCCCTGGCAAATCCTAGAGATCAGAAAAGAATCGGTGTTCCCGAAAAACCACCACGGCCGACACGGCCGGGAAGCACCAGGAAATTGCCAGGAAAGTGTTGCGAAGGACTCAATTTAGGTGGCCGAAGTGGACCGAGAGCAGGTAAGTGCAGGCCAGGCGGATTTTGAGCAAGCGTGGTGGTCAGAGGAGGAGTGGCGATGCATCGAAGTTGACGACTGGAGATCCAAATACGGGCAGACAAATCGCCACGATAAATTTCGGCAAAAGCCGAGCCGGTTGGACCCGAGTGGGGTGGGAAAACAGCGTGGAAATCCCATTGTGATGAAAGATGAAGCCAATAGGAGGCCGTAAATGGACCTCTTCCAGCCAATCAGAGGCCTGGATCGGCTTGTGATCGAGGGGGTCAGACAGTTGAGGCTGTGAGACCTGGTTTAACTAAAGGAACCAGGAACTTTGTTCAAAGCCCTATATTCGAGTTCAATTTACACCAAAAGGACCTGTTAGGGCAGATGGTAGCCCACCCGATAGAAATTCCGCATCACAAGTAGCCTATGCGGGAGGCCCCAGTTCGACTCTGGGATGGGCCATTCATGGATCACCATGGGTTTTTGTTTGAAGTCATTTCATTTTAAATTCAGACACATCATGGTTCAATTAAAATACCAGGAAGACCTGTTAGGGCAGATGGTAGCCCGCCTGCTAGAAATTTCCGAGATCCGACCTAGCATCTGTGGGATGACCCAGTTCGACTCATTCATCACGTTTTTCTTTGTTCTGGTTCGTTTCATTTTAAATACAGAGCCATATGTATTCTGGTCCAATTAAGACAACAGAAGGACCTGTTGGCGCAGTGGTTAGTGTACCCACAATAACTGTTCAATTCTATCCATTATGTGGAGGGCCTAGTTTGACTCCGACTCTGGGACAGGTCATCAGGAGAAATTTGTTTTTTTTCCACCAGCCACCACATGTTAGGTTGGAATTGAATTAAAAACACGAGAAAAGGAGATCTGTTGGCGCAGTCGGAAGCGCGCTCGTGCCATCTATTTCTATATTGTCGGATTCTGGGAGAGGACTCGGTTCGAGCCCGGGACAGGGCGTGTCCCTACCTGGAACTTCCTTTTTTTTGGTCTCGCCCCCATTTTTTGTTTGTGTCGATTCCTTTCTTATTCCACTTGGATTTTGTTCCACCGCGGACTGTGATGACACAATTTAAAAGCGCCCTGGATTTTAAGCCGCCAACGCACACACCGCCCGAACGACCCATTTCATTCCATTACAACAGCAGTTATGTACAGTATGTACAAGCACCTCGTCCCGGCGCTATTAAGCACCACGTACCTGCTATTAATGAAATAACCCGTATTAGAGTACCCACACCCCGAAACGTGAACGTATTAATTGTACCCGTAATATACTCCCGCCCCCCGTACTCCAAAGCGCTTCGTCCCGTGCGGCCGCGTCGAGATGACACCCCTCAGCCGACAAAGCGGGGAGCTGCGCACAGACAAGAGGAGCACACAGCCAACAACGAGGACCGCACAGCTAACAATGAGGAAAGAGCAACCTCACTTCATCTTGAGCCCCCTCAGCCGGCTGACGACCTCAGGCCATGCGCTGCGGAGCCCCACCCGCTGCCCTACCCGCCCACGCCGCCGCGCCCCCACTTCGGTTCCAGCTTGACCCGCCGTCCGCGGGCTCAGCAAACTCGAACGTGCGAGAGAGAAATCGCTCGGAGCATGTGCTGCGTGTGGTGGTGGACGGGTGCGCGGCGGTGGAGGGCGAGTGCGGTAAGGACGGCACGCGCACCCACTCGTCCTCGTGCTCGTCGTACGTCACGCGCGGGGGGAAGGGTACTCGTGCCGGTCGTGCGGGATATGGGGGAGGGCGTGCGCGAGTTCGCGCGCTCGGCGCTGGAGAATGCGGTGGCGGAGTATGCGGGGGGTGCGCCGCTGCTGCAGGCGGACGGGGCGGGGGACGGGGTGCGTGTGGCGCAGGAGGGAGAGCGCGGGGGAGAGCGAGGCGGTGGAGCCCTGCGCACGCAGTATGGAGGAGCCGCGCGAGGAGCGCAGGCTGGGCGGCTCTTGCGGCGGCGGAAGGCTCGCGCAAGGTGGGTGTTGGGGGCGAACGCGGGGGGTAGGGGCGAGGGGAGGGCTGATGGGCACCGGGCACTATAACTATGGGCAGCGACTCGGTGACACACGCACGATGGCCTCGATCATCTGTTTGGTAGCGCCGTGTAAACGGCCGTGGGCGATTCGCGCATGAGGAGTGCCGGCGTGTCGGGCGCGTACTTGAAGAGGTACTTGCCGTCCTCCGTCGCGAGGGTTGGTTGTGCGACGCAGAAGCGAGCGAATGTGGTCATGTTGTGGCATGCGCGATGAGCTTCGGCGCGGCTTTGATCTGACATGCGAAGAGTCGGTAAGTGCAAGTATGAGCTTGAGGCATGCCGCAGCAATATGTGGGAGAGCGGGAGGGCGGTCGAAAATGCCAAGGAAAACCAGAAAGTGTCAGTTACACGCATAAAGAACTGTTTGGTCCAACGCGGTCAGTAACAGCGAGGAGACTTGGAGAAAGCGACTGTGATATGTACGCTTATGCTCGAGGTGATTTTTTTTACCCGATGCTAGTCATTACCTGTAGGCTCAACAAAAATCGAGCCTTACCGCCATTGGTAGTTGCATCTGGGCGTTCCAACTTCTGAGCGATGAGGGAGAGGACAAAAATGGGATCGGCTGAGTCTCGGAGCTTGAAATTTGATTGTGGATCAGCCATCAGTTCTTCGGCCGAAGCCAGTTCAACTTTCTACGATTCCGTGCGGACAGCAATTAACACAGACCTGACGGCACAGCTGGTAGTGCGCCCGCTGACATATTCCAAAGCCAAAATGAGTCTTAGCGGGAGTCCCCAGTCCAATCCTGGGACAGGTCATTTCCATTTTTTCATGTGTTTTCTTTTACATTCCTTATCCTTGTTCTTTCCAAGTAAAAAAAGGTTCATGCACAAACACCTTATTAACCTGCGAATAGAAGAGTAAGCCTTTGAGCAGGTCGCATACAATAATTGTACATGATCCTTGATCTGGCTCAGTCCGAGAGGTCGGATTTGGTGTAATTTCAGATCTCAGCTTCTACTCTCTCGTTCGCTCGTTCCACCATCCATCAGCGCAGCTGGAAACTCCGCGCCTAAGCACCTATTACGGCAGACAGAATTGCCTAAGACTTAGTCGGAATTTATCCTACAAACATTTTTGTTGTCCCCGCCATTCAATCATTCGATTTCATTGATAGGTTCCCTAGATATTGCACACCAGAATGGCCTTTAGCGCATGCCGCAGAGCTCACGATAAATTGAGATTGTTCAAGGGAGTTATGGGAGGATCTGGTTCGACTCTGAGATGGGTCATTTAAGAATCGGATCATGTTTTTGTCCCCCTTGGCTCATTTAATCACAAATTTATTACTCGCAAATATTCAGGGTTCAATCGATATAGTAGAAGAGCTGTTGGCGCACTCCGCAATACACCACCTACAGTAAATGAGCGTCGTTGAACAAGGTATATGGGAGGTCTCAGTTTGAATCAGGGACAGATCATTACTGGTATTCTGTGGTTTTGTTCGGAGTCATTTCCTTTTGTACCAAGCCCAGCCTGGCAGCGCGCCGGCTTTCCCTCAAGGCGCTCCGCCCCATTGCCACTACTGAATATATTATGGTTCAATTAATATGAGGAAAGACCTGTTGGCACAGAAAGTAGCGCATCTACAATAACTAGAATTGAGCCAAACGTCATGTGGAAGACCCCGGTTCGACTCTGGGACAGGTCATCGATGACCACCTCTTCGACTTTTCTGTTGGCTCGTTCATTTCATTTTACTCAAGCCGTCCGCTCCATGCCGTAGCTCAATTAGGATACCAGAACGACCTGTTAGCGCACTCGGCAGCGCACCCACTGGCAATAACTGAATGACCTCCGAGAGTCATGAGGGAGGCCCCGGTTCGACTTTGAGATGGGTCGTATTTCAGAAGTTCGCCAGCGTTTTTGTTCCGGGATGTTTCATTTTAAATTCAGAGGCTTCTACTACCGCATATATTATGTTCAATTTATATGAGGGTAAGACCTCTTAGCACACTCGATAGTGGACCCACAATAACTCTGCATCAATTGGAGGCCCCAGTTCGATTCTGGGACGGGTCATGCTCGAGGGCCAGCGCATGGAGATAGGCACTTGCGGCGGCTTCGTGGATTCGTCGATACTAACCACAATATATTAAGGAAGGAATTTACCTGGGATTGACAAAGACATCGTTTCTCAAATCTGGAACAGACCGTTCCTCTCGCATATATCTGAAAACGAGTACAGAACAGGCAAGAGAAATGGAATCGAACTTCAACATCTTAAATTGTTGTTGAAGAACCAGTTTATACACTTATTTGGACTTCGTTCGTCCGGAATGTGTTCAGTACGAAGTCTTTGTTGAGATCCCGTCCTTGACTGCCACCCACGACTCCCGCACTTGGAGATCATTGAACCATCTGTGGATCTGGTGAGACGGCTGAAATGAAAACACGCTTACAATTTGGCGAAACTCAGTCTAAACCGATCATCTTACCGCTCGGTGGTACACAATTAGAGTCAGAGTGAGCTCCGAGCTGCTGATTGAGTCTCAAAGATGTGATGGAATACAAAGGATTGACCATACTGCGACTGTATACAATACTCTAAACAATGTGGGGTCAGTACAGTGTTCAGCGAGTTAGTCGTGAGTAGTCGTCTGATAGTGGCCATAACTCATATGTGAGGGCGGTATCATGCAGGATCACTAGAAACCATACCAAGGAGATTGTATGAATATCCATATTTATTTAAACACTGCTACACAAAGATCATAGACCTCTAGCGGGGATTTTGGGCAAATATAGTCTTGTCATGACTAAAGATAATAGTCATGACTCCAAGTCGTATGAGAAATAGTAATTCTCAGGCACAGATAAACAGTCGTGAATAATGGAAGAGTCACGACTACCCAAATAGACCTTCGGGCGAGCTCCGAGAGTGTGATCACATGTCAGATGGTGAACCAGTGGACTAAGCGAGTCAATCCGAGGATTCCCGATGAAGTCCGAGAAGATCCGACGATCTGATCAGACATTCACATGAAAGATATGGTTGTCATGATTAGGTCGAAAGCATGCAATATGGCGTCAAGGCGGTCTAGATCGCTCCGGATCTTGCCTTGACTAAAGATAGATGATGCTGAAGGCTCTCCGGAACTTTTGGAACTAGTCTAGACTGTCGGGATTGAATCCTATAGGCCACAGGCCACAGATCTCCGATCAAACACAGTTGATAGACGGATAAAAGGACCATATACCTCATTTCTATTACTCATTTTCCTTATCTGGCATGTACTAAAATAGATTGTAAATTAGTATAAAGTCTCAGTAGAATAACGCGATTCTGGACTGTATTTTCCTCCCAGCTACTATAGCCGTGACTATTGTCATCATTGGTTGTGGGTCACAGGGTCAGTGCACGTCTGGGTTTTACGCGGAGATTTGTTTAAACACATTTCGAAGTTGTACTACTTTTAGCAAAGATATATATAGAACCAGAACATAGTTTTTTGATAACCAAAGTTCCAGCAAAGTAAGCTGAATAAGAAAGTCATAAGAAACAGTCAAGTCTGTACCGAAGTGGTCCTTTAAGAGTCGCGACTAAGTGTCAAGACGGAGGATAGCTGTTGATATCGTTCCTTTGAGTTCGGTTGCAGTCTAAGTACCAAAGAAGTAAAGTCTAAGACGGTCTCAAGTGACCTAAAGTTCAGTCCAAGTGTGGATTAAGTTGTCGGAGTTGTTCAAGTACACTCGCGACTGTGTTTCATTCCATCCAAACACCCCAAAGATAGTGTTTCTCTTGTGAGAGACTTTAGTCAAGGTTCTCGAGTAATACTCGCGAATATTCCCAAGGGCACAGTTAGATTTATAGTCATTTATTGCAACTGTCTACGGTTCATCTTACTCAATTCTGATTGAGAGGACCCTAGTTATAGAAGCACCAATATAGTCAAGTAGTAGTAGTGTGTGTGTGTGTTGGGTGTA